ATTTTTTCTCCCCCTTCCTCCCCACCTCCCTCCCCAAGACGGCGCACAATCTGATATAGGCTATACATTTACATTCCTATTAAACATATTTTCACATTAGTGATGTTGTAAGTAAAAATTAGAACCAATAGGAGGAACCATCAGAAAGAGGAAACCAAGCTCAACAGAACAGGAAAAAAAATAGCAAATAGTATGCTTCAATCTGTATTCAAATTCCATAGATCTTTCTTTGGATGTGGATAGCATTTTCCATCACAAGGCCTTTGGAGATGTCTTAGATCCTTGTATTGCTGGGCAGGGTTGAGTTTATCAATATTAGTCATCACACCATATGACTGTTACTGTGTACAATGTTCTCTTGGTTCTGCTCACTTCATTCAGCATCAGATAACACAAGTATTTCCAGGTTTTTCTGAAGTCAGCCTGTTCATCATTTCTTATAGCACAGTGGTATTCCATTACATTCATATACCACAACTTGCTCAGCCATTCCCCAATTGATGGGCATCCTCTCAATTTCCAATTCTTTGCCACCACAAAAAGAGCTGCTATGAATATTTTTGTACATGTGAGTCCTTCTTCCATTTGTATGATCTCTCTGGGATATAGCCCTAGAAGTGCTGTTACTGGGTCAAAGGGTATGCACATTTTTATAGTCCTTTGGGCATAGTTCCAAATTGCTCTCCAAAATGGCTGGATCATTTCACAACTCCACCAACAATGCATTAGTGTTTCGATTTTCCCACATCTTCTCCAACATTTATCATTTTCTTGTTTTGTCATGTTAGCCAATCTGATAGGTGTGATCCATAGTGATTTAGAGCATTTTTTCATATGACTATAGATGGCTTTAATTTCTTCATCTGAGAACTGCCTGTTCATATCCTTTGACCATTTATCAATTGGGGAATGACTTGCATTCTTATAAATTTGACTTAATTCTCTATATATTTTAGAAATGAGGTCCTTATCAGAGAGACTGGTTGTAAAAATTCTTTCCCAATTTTCTAATTTCCTTCGAATGTTAGTTGCATTGGCTTTGTGCAAAACTTTTCAATTTAATGTAATCAAAGTTATCCATTTTGCTTTTTGTAATGCTCTCTATCTCCTGTTTGGTCATGAATTCTCCTGTTCTCTGTAGATCTGATAGGTAAAGTATTCCTTGCTTGCCCAGTTTACTTATAGTATCATCCTTTATATCTAAATCATGAGCCCATTTTGATTTTATTTTGGTATATAATGTGAGATTTTGATCTATGCCTAGTTTCTGCCATACTTTTTTTCCAGTTTTCCCAGCAGTTTTTTTCAAAGAGTGGGTTCTTATCCCAGAAGCTGGGGTCTTTGGGCTTATCAGATAATAGATTACTATAGTCATTGACCACTGTGTCTTGCACATTTAACCTATTCCACTGATCCACCACTCTATTTCTTAGCCAGTCCCAAGCAGTTTTGATGATTGCTGCTTTATAATACAATTTAAGATCTGGAATTGCTAGGCTACCTTCCCCTGCATTTCTTTTCATTAGTTCTCTTGATATTTTGGACCTTTTGTTCTTCCAAATGAATCTTGTTATGATTTTTTCTAACTCTATAAAGTAATTTTTGGTAGTTTGATAGGTATGGCACTGAATAAGTAAATTAGCTTAGTTAGAATTGTCATTTTTATTATATTAGCTTGGCCTACCCATGAGTGGCTGATGTTTTTCTAATTATTTAGATCTAACTTCATTTGTGTGAAAAGTGTTTTGTGATTGTGTTCATACAGTTCCTGGGTTTGTTTTGAAAGGTAGACCCCCAAATATTTTATAGTGTCTACAGTAAGTTTAAATGGGATTTCTCTTTCTATCTCTTGCTGTTGGGCTTTGTTGTAATATAGAGAAATGCTGATGATTCATATGGGTTTATTTCATAGCCTGCAACTTTGCCAAAGTTGTTTATTATTTCCAGTAGTTTTTTACTTGATTCTCTAGGATTCTCTAAGTATATCATCATGTCATCTGCAAAGAGTGACAGCTTTGTTTCTTCTTTGCCTGTTCTAATGCTTTCAATTTCTTTTAATTCTCTTATTGCTAAAGCTAACATTTCCAGTATGATATTGAACAGTGGTGATAATGGACATCCTTGTTTCACCCCCGATCTTATTGGAAATGCTTCTAGCTTGTTCCCATTACGTATAATGCTTGCTGAAGGTTTTAGGTAGATGCTATTTGCTATTTTGAAGAAGACTCCATGTATACCTATGCTCTCTAGTGTTTTTAACAGGAATGGGGGTTGTGTTTTGCAACAATCCCTTTTTTGTCTTTTGCTTGTGCAGTGCCTACTGTAGCACTCGCTGGTTAATCAATTAAATGAACCATAATATATAGGCCAATTCTGACTCCTTTCGTTCCCCTCTTTGCTTCAATATAAAAGATGGCAAAGTGATCTTGAAGACTATTGGCTGCTTTTTCTTAGCTAATTATTCAATTGACAACTATTTATCGTGCACCTACTATGCTCAAGACATCAGGTTAGGTGTTATTCATGAGTCAAGAGCTGGTCTATGGATGGGGGCGGGGACAAGGTCAACAGAATGCTGGTATTTTTGACACGAGGAAAGGTTTGAAGATTTGCTGACGTGGACAGAGAGAGTGGGGTCGGGAGTCGAGGGGAAGCAGATGGTTTTGAGGTCAACGGCATGCTATTGATTGATATCGAGCTTCCTGGCCGTTCAAACCCCGGGTGTTTTTGCACAAGAATTGCTGACTGGCCACGTCTGCTCCGCCCTCCACTTGTGAAGTTGACTTTCTGAACCCACGTGGAAAGAAGTCGTCTTTATGTTGGACCTGCTGTTCCTCACACTGACTGGGCATTCGTCCTGCCAGGCTGTTCCCCATGCATGGAATACCCTCCCATGCCTATCTTCCCTGGCTTCCTTCAAGTCCCAGCTAAAATCCTATCTCTTGACAGAAGTCTTTCCCCAGTCCCAGTCCCAGAGAGCATTCCCCTAAGATTACCTTTCAGTTACACTGTATGTACATAGTTAAGTTGTCTCTCCCATCAGACTGTGAGCTTCCTGTGGGCAAAGACTGTTTTGTGCCCTTCTTTGTATCCACAAAGCTTAGCACAATGCCTGGCAGATAGTAAACATTTTAAAAATGCTTGTTAACTGACTATTAATTTTTGTCTTATTAGAGTCATCCCATATAACCACGCCCTTGTATATATGTAAATACATACATACATATATATAGATATAGCCATATATACATATACATATATTATATATATATATATAATATATATATATAATATATAATAATATATATATATAATATATATATTATATATATATATATATATATATATATATATTATATATATATATATACCAACATATTTCAGTTGTGACCATTTTTTCTTTATATCCCAACATTTAGGATAGCGCTGGAAACACATTAGACGCTTACTAGATGCTTCTTGAATGAATGAATGAATGCCTGACATGGGCCTGAAATGCCATCAAAGAATGAAAAAATAATTTGAAGAGCTCACAAAAAAATTTTGGTAAACAATACTTTGCCACAGGAAACCATTCAAGAAAAATCTGCAAAGGCAAATAAATTCCTGGGGGAATTGAGGAAAGAGAAAGATCAGTGTTGATGGGTTTTAGTGATCTGGGAAGTTGATAATGTAACAAGCTGATAATATAATGAAAAAAAAAACCTTGAAAGCATCTGCCTACAAGAAGCTTGTTGTGTGCATGTGTGGGAGTGCTGAGAATAAAGAAGGCACAAACAAACGGAACTAAGAGAAAATGTTTACCAAGGGAAGTGAAACCTGACTTGAAGTATTAAAGATTCTAAGAAGTGAGCACAAGTGCATTCTGGGCATGGGGAGCAGGTAGGAAATGGTTTGTCATACTAGCAGATGAGTTTGGCTGGAATGTAGCATATGTGAAGGGGAATGACATAAAATGAGTCTGGAAAGGGCGTTTAGAGTCAGGTTGTAGAGAGCCTTAAATGTTTGGCTGAAGAGACTGCATTTGGTTTTGGGGGGCCACAGGGAGTCACTGAAGATTTTTTAGCAGGTAAGGGACATGGTCAGACCCGTACCTTAAGATTATTTTGGTTGCTGTGGGGAAGGTGGATTAGAGAGCAGATGGGTGGAGAGGGGGAGACCAATCACGAAGAAAAGAAGGAGAGGGAGGAGGAGGAGGAGGAGGAGGAGAAGAAGCATTTATACAGTGCTTTAAAGTTTGCAAAGTGATTTACAAATATCATCTCATTTGATTCTCACAATAGCTCTACAAAGTACTATTATTATCCCCATTTTACAGATGAGGAAACTGAAGCAGAACAGAGTAATGTACCCAGAGTTATCCTGCTAGTAAATGTCAGAGCAGATTTGAACTTAGGTCTTCCTGATTTTAGAGCCAGTGCTATATATACTTTGTCACCTAGCTGCTTCTGCTGTTAAATGAAAACTATATTTAGAGAGAAGGGAAGATTAATCTGTAAATGAGTTTATTTTTTTTCTGTAAGATTATTCCCATAAAGGTAAATGCAAACTCTTTCATGTTCAATGAAAAGTAATTTAATGAAGATTGCTGAGTCCTCTGTAAACAAAGTTTCCTATTATTGAAGAAGACAGCTTTTCTAATCTCTCAGCAGCTGGTAAATGTTAAGTTTTCATCTACTAGAATTCATTAAAAAGGAAAAAAAACAAATTTTAAAGCCTTTTACATACACCAGCTAGAGCACCAACTTTCCCTCAGAATTCATTAAGCAGAGTGGGGATGCTTTTGAATGGAGCTTAGACTTATGAATGTTGAGTAAATTTAATTCTGAGGGAAAATATGAGGATTTCACTTCAAATTAGAAATGCTGGTTCCATCCTGAGGATGAGAGAAAAGGAAGTGACAGAATGGTAAATTACACACTGGCGACCCAGGAACTCAGTCTGGAATGAAAACGTGCAAAACCTAAAAATGATTGTTTGTTTTTCTCTCAGAATCTACTTCTTGCTTTTCTTCAGACCTTTCCCTTGAAGCCTTCTGGAACTCACCAGAGCGAAAAGGAGGCAGCTTGTTCATTGCCTCTGTTGGAACATACCCCAACAATATAATAGATGTTATGGCACCACAAATGACAAAGGAGAATGGCTTCAGAACAACTCGGGAGGATTTCTATGAACTGATGCAGAATAAAGTGGGCAAGACCAGCAGAACTGTTTACACAAAGACTGCAACCTTGTAAAAGAAAGACTTAATGAACTCTGATCAGTACAATGGCCAATTACGACACTAGAAGATTGATAAAGATGTGCTAGACACCTCTTGACACAAAGAGAATCCACTAGATTGCAGAATAAGACATGTGTTCTCAGATGTTGCCAAGGTATGGATTGAAGATACTGATTTGTTACTAGGAGGGAAGTGGTTTAAAAAATTTTTTTATTATGAGTAATGAGTGGGAGTGGTGAGGTGATTAAATAAAAAGGTAAGATCATTAGTGAAACATTTTAATAAATTTTTTTTTAAAGAGAGCAGAAGGAAATTCAGAAGGGAAAATAAACAGGAAAGTGTTGGAATAATCAAGTTAAATTTAATATAGACTTTTAAAACTATAAAATAATACACTTGTAAAGCACTTTGTATACCTTAAAGTGCTATGTAAATACTAGCTATTGTTCTTAATAACAATAATATTACTATATTATATTACTATTATAATATATTTAGAAAACAAGCTTTACTAAAAGATATGAACAAAAGTCTAGTTAAACAGTATGCTCAGGAATGGATGGGTGGTAATCTGCACTTGTGGAGAGGATACTTTTATCAATGAGATCACAGATCTATGAGTGTAGTCATGGTGTCATTTACAATCCTTTTCCTGTTCTTCTTTGTGTATGGAAATGTTCATGTTTGCTGACATCTGTCAAGTCATAATAAAAAATAAAGAATATACCCATGGATCTGGGATCTTATGGCTATGAATATCCTCTCTAATATTGCAGATTGGGGAGCTAGGTAGTGCCATAGAGCAGACAGTGCTGGGCTTGGAGTCAGGAAGACTCATCTTTTTGAGTTCAAATCCAGCCTCAGATACTTAGCTGTGTGATCCTGGGCTAGTCACTTCACCCTGTTTGCCTCAGTTTCCTCATTTGTAAAAGGAGCTGGAGAGGGAAATGGCAAACCACTCTAGTATCTTTGCCAAGAAAACCCCAAACAGGGTCACAACAAGTTGGACACAACTGAAATGACTCAACAATGTTACAGATCAAAGCCCATCCATGCCTCCCCATCCTGTATGACTGGACCTTTGCTTATGTCCTTCCATAGTTTCCCACTGGGGGTCCACTGAAGGGCTGGGGACACTCTTTCTTCCCCTTCCCACCAAAATTATCTTGAATTTCTTTTGTATATATTCTACTAAGTATACATGTTGTCTCTTAATAGAACGCAAGCTCCCTAAAGGCAGGTATCCTTTCATTTTTGTCTCTGTATCTCCAGCTCCTCGCACAGTTGGCACTTAATAAATGCTGGGTGATTGAGTGATTGTGCTGACACTGTGAATCTAGCTGCAGTGCATAAGGGCTGGCCATTCTTTACCCTTCTCTTTGGCACCAGTGAGGGGTAACGGGCCATCTTTTTTTGTTTGTTTACCTGGTCAGACATTTCACTGCTGACATCCTTTACACTGCTTTTTTTGTGTAGTTATAATGTGTCCCAACTTGTTCACACCCGTCACGTGCTTTTCCCTTGGCCTCTGGGCAACTGTCAACATTCACAGACGGTGGCATTCCATGACTTGCAGACATAGCACACCACAGGAAGAATACTGGTCTTCAAAGATAGGCCTTTTCGTCTATATAAAATATTTATAGTGCTTCTTTTTGTGGAGGCAGGACCTTAGAAACTAAAAGGGGGCGGGTATTAATTAAGGAATGGCTAAACAGACTATGACATATGAATGTAATGGAATAATATTGTGTCATAAGAAATGGTTACAAGGATGCTTTCAGAGAAATCTAAAATGACTTTGCATGAATTGGTCCAAAGTGAACAGATCCAGAGCCTTTGATAAGGTAACAACAATGCTGAAAAGATAAATGACTTTGGAAGCCATAAGAACTCTGAGCAAAGCAGTGACTAACCACCATGCCAGGGGATGGATGATGACACCTGCCACCCTCCTCATGACAGACAGGTGATGGACACGAGATGCAGGAGATTCATTTCTTGGTCATAGTCAATATGGGAATTTGTTTAGCTTGACTCTATAGGTTATAAGGATTTTGTTTTTCTTTATTTTTTTCTCCAGTGGATGGGAAAAGAGGGAGGGAAAAGAAATACTTGTTAATATATATATATATATATATACATACATACATATCTACATACATACATATCTACATACATACATATCTACATACATACATATACAAATATATATGTGTGTGTACACACACACACACACACACACACACACACACACACACACACACACACACACACAACAAGCCTTTGTTTCAAGGAAAGCTTAGCACTATCAAAGTACAACACAGCTTTCCAAGCATTCTACGCCATTGTCTTCCTGGTCAATGTTGGCCCAGCTTTTGCTCCATTTGAACTGTCTAACTAAGGTATATACACCAATGGGCGCACTTTCTGTGGGTCATCTCTCCAACTGCTTACCATAGTCCGGACAATGGACCATCATCTAGACCCTATAATTCCATTAATGTAACCTAACATGAGATACTCCCCTTGGAAGTCTTTCCAAAAGAAGTCATTAAAATAAAACAAGTTTCAGGAACTCCAAAAACAAATAACTAAAGGAACTAGATGAATGGACAAACTTAATAGGAGGTAGGGAAAAGGAAATATCTGTCACATGGATTTGATAAGCCAGATTCTGTTTTTAAGATGCAAAACAGTGCTTCAAACTTTTGTGCAAGCAGTTAAACGCAAAAGCAACTCTCACAGGATGGTCAAACACAGAACCAACCACGGGAAAACCTCAAGAAGTCTCTGTGGTAGGGGAAACTCCCTTTTGACTTTGGAAGAAGCTAAAACTCATTTTTAAAAAGTGCTTTTATAACTTGGAAGTATTGTATCCCTATCCCTTGGATGGAGAGCAGGGTGGAGGGGAGCAGCTTGTACTAGAGATTCAAGTGTGACTAAGAGGAGGAGGGAGTGTCTACCCACCCCACAGACAGCTTAAGCTTTGAGAACTAGGAAGAGACCTTTGAGCTCAACATTATCCTATTCCCGGAATCCAATAGGGTAGTTAAAAGTAACAACCGATATTTGTATAGTGCATTAATGCTTGCCAAGTTTAATTCGAGCCTCACAAAATCCTACGAGGTAAATATGTTAGGTTTTATTTTCCAGGTTTACAAATAAGGAAGTGGGGGCCCAGAGAAGATGGGATTTGTCCATAGTTACACAGCCAGTGGGAGAGACTAGATTCCAGCCCAAGTCTTCCTAACTTGAACATCAACACTTTGGTCATTATGCCACACTACCTAGCTCTCCTTCCATGTTTCCAAGGTCAAACCATAACCTATAACTTATTCTCAAATCAAAGCCATAAGTCTATAAAGTAATTTATCTAAGGGTTAGGGGAGGACAATAACATTTGAATCCTAAAGCAAAGTATCCAAAGAACAAAGAGAAATGGAGTGAGTCCAGGAAAATCCCACAGAGGGTTAAGTACAAGGCATTAGTTTTCTTCACATGGAGAATTCATCTGTGGGACCTTCATTCTTGAGTCACAGTGTGTTAGCAACTCCCCACCTCCCCATCCCCAAATCAACTGATGCAATAAGGCAATGCAGCTGGGAGCTCAGACACTCTCCCTCCTTCTAGAAACTTCTCTGGAGCTAAGGCCCTGTGCTAGGGGGCTATCATTGGAAGAAGTTTTTCCATGTTTTTCCTCAGGTCCATAGCCCTTCTAGTCTACCATGTCAGTGAGGTGCCCTGTTGCCTTTGTGAATACAAGATCTATTAGCAAGTATACCCCTCTCACCTATTCATGATTAGTGGACACAGGCAGAGGCTCAGAGGATACAATTCTGATTGAGGTGGGTCCAAAGCAAAAAAATCCATGGAAATAGATTAGATACACAGCAAGACAGGTAATCTTGAACCCAAATCTTGGTGCTCACTATTGCTTGTCTTGAAAAGATCTTATTGCCTGAGTTGTCAATTTCCTGAATGATTTCAGGCAACCAGCCAAAACTGATCCCTGCCACATGAAGGCACCCCAGTGGTGATGTGTCAATCAGTTTTCCATTTACACAGCCTTGGCTATGTGCAACGGTAACAAATCAAATTGATCTAGGCAGCCTCCAACTCCTCGAAGTAGGCATTGATCATTAAAACAAAACCTGGGTGAAGAGAAGAACAGGGAGGGTAGAACCATAGAGTGAGTAAAAGGGTAAAAAGAGTATAAAAATGAGTGAACTGCTTTACTAGAGGAGAAATTTGTGGTGGGCATTAAAGCTTTCATTTTCAATTCAATTTTAGAAATCCTTCCTTGTGCCAGGCACTGAATATACAGGAATGAAAATCATCCCACTCCATGACATCCAGGCACCGGTGAAAGGACAAGGGATGCACAACCTGAAAAGGAGAAGAACCAGGAGATGTGTGATAGACAATATCATCTTCAAGATTTTGGTGGGTCACATGGGAGAGAAATTAGCTTTATTCTGTTTGGCTCCAGAGGATGATAAATGGCAGAGAAATTTAGGCTTGATATTAGGAAACACTTCTTAATGATTGGAACTGTCCAAGAGTGGAAAGGGCTACCTCAGGAAGCGATGGATTTCCTCACATTTGAAGCCATTGAGGAAAGGGTTGATAATACTTTGTTGGCATTGTTGTAAGGGGGGTGGGCTACTTTTTAGGAATGGGTTGGACTACATGACCTCTAAGATCTCTTATAACTTTGAATTCTGTGGTTCTATGACATCTTCTAAGAGACCATGTAGCACCAGAAGTACTACTCAGGGGGGTCTTATTAGTACACTCTACCCATCCAGTTGAGGGCAATATGACATTGAGAAGGGAAGTTTTACCTAAAGGGCAGTGAGATAAACTGGTGTCCCTAATGGACGATGAGAGGGAAGATATAATTGGAAAACATATTTAAGTGCATGGCTTTAGGGGCAATAGGATGTTCAGCATAGGGCAGGAAGTGAACCACCATCAGAGTGCTCACAGCCACTAGGATGATGTCATGCACCAGGGTTGGGCAGGCCTACGGTGGAATCCAACATCATTACTAACCAAAGATAAGAGGAAGGGACTCAGGGATGTGGTAGAAAGGCTTTCCAATGAAGTCCTAGGTCTGAGTATATGTCTCTTAGGACTGGAACAGACTGGATATACCAGCAGATTCCATAAATTATGCATGACCACCAAAATTCCTGAGTGATGACATATAATGCTTTCGACAGGTCCAATTTAGCAAAGAACTGGGAATGAAGTGGATGTCCTTGTGGTAATAGATGATTGCTGCTCTGCCAGAAACAATGAATGTGAGGAATTCAGAGAGGCATTGGAAGAATAATTTGAACAGATGATGAGGGAAGTCAACAGTAGAAAGAAAACGATAACTACAACAATGTCAATGGAGAGGACAAAAAAAATCAGTTCCTATGCTATTATAATGACCAAATTTGCCACCCCCACACTCCCACCCCCTCCAAAGATATGAGAAAAGTGAACCTTCCTCCCACCTTCATAGAGGGGGGTGATTATGAGTGTGAACACTGCATATGCTCTCAGATCCAGTTGTTGATTTGTTTTGTTGAACTGCTCAGGTCAGAATCAGAAAAGGTCAAAACTCCTGTGTCAACCAATACAGGGATAAGGCCGTGAGTGACTCCTGTACTTCCAACCTGGGTCAGATAGGGTGAACTGGTCTTTTAAAAAAAAAAAGGTGCACTAAAAGACATTCATTTATCAATATGGCCAATGGGTGGATTTGTTTTTGGTGACTACATTAACTTATTGCAAGAAGAGCTCTTATTTTTATTTTTAGTGGAGGGAAAGTTGACAGATATGGGAGATAACAATAGTGATATTCAAGAAGAAAAGAAAAGGCCATCAAGGAATTACTAAAAATATACTGGAGACAGAAGAGGGAAATTCATAAGGGGACCCAGACAAGCAAGGTGGTGTTGAATTGGGAATATTCTTTTAAAAAGCAATCTATTCATGGTGGAGAGTCACAATTTCATGTGTAACTCTATTTTTCTGTTACTTACATGGAAGAATGTTCAGATTTGTTGATATTTGTCAAGTCAATAATAATAGCAATGCTTTTTTTTTTAAACAAAGGGCTTTTATATTACCACGTCAAAGCTTCCTTTCAGGGATACCTTTAATTCACTACTGCCCAGGGCACGTTTGAAAACCCAGCCTTGGACCCCCCCCCCCCCATGCGTGCTCTTGGCCAATACGTAAAGGTCTTTTCATTTAGTTGCGGTTCCCATTATCTACGTCTGTGCTTATATTTCCTAGAACATCTCTTGCTTCTTTTGGGGGGCAGTGAATCATGCTAATTTTAAAAAGCATGCAATATTAATGGCAATGGGAAGAAAAAAAAGCACCATGAATCAGGCAACAGAATGGTAAGAATATTTAGTTCAACTCAATAAACACTTGGTAACCCCTCCCTCTCTCTCCATTATTCTGGGTACTGGGAATACCAAACCCAAAATGAAACAGCTCCTGCCCTAAAGGAGTTTATACTCTGCTGGAAAGATACAGGTAACTGGGACATGAAGGGCTGGACTGAGAGTCAGGAAGAGCTGAGTTCAAATCCCACCTCTGAAACTTCCTAACTGTGTAACTAACTCTATGTAGATCACTGAGCCTCAATTTCCTCATCAGTAAAGTGAAGGAGCTGGAATACATGGCCTCCAAGTCCCTTTTCAACTGTAGATGTGTGACCTGTAGCCTTCACTTTATAGCATTTCGTGAGGATTGAATGAGATGATGTCATGATAATAGTAGCCAGCATTAACTTAGGGCTTTCCAGCTTGCTAAGTTCTTTACAAATATAATTTCATTTGATTCTCATAATAATCATGAGAAGTAGGTGTTATTATTATTCCCATTTTATAGATGGGGAAACTGAGGCAGACAAAGGTTAAGTGACTTGCCCAGGGTCACACAGCTAGTAAGTGTCTGGAGCTGGATTTGAATTCCTGACTCTAGGTCAAGCATTCTATCCCCTATACCACCTAGCTGCCTTATGTATGTAAAGTACTTTGTAAACCTTACATCTCTATATAATTGTATACATAGGTAAGTATAAAACAAGATGTTTAGAGGTGGGGGAATCCAAGAATCCTCCATGGAGGATGTGACAGTTGAGCTGAGCCCGGAAGAAAGATAGTTTTAAGTAACCACACACCTCAAACTAAAGTCTGTGACATGCCTTGGACTCAGCAGAAAAGGAGGCTCTTACCATAGAGTTATTAGCTATTAGTTCGGAGAAATCCTAGGTCCCAAAGGCAAAGGTGTTCCTGTCCCAGAAAAGGCGGAGCCGGGTCACGCACCTCTAGAACTAACAGTTACAGATACAGAAATCAATTGTCCTGGATCAGTCTGCAGTGCCCCGAGGCATGTGAGGGAACAGGCAGTCACCCACATGCCTTTGTACCTCCCAGTAGCCTTAACTTCCTTCTAGGAGAGATAGGGAGGTAAGAAGGTCTGTGCAAACAAGGAAAAGAGAGATGCTATCTTTGGGGCAGGTTTTCCAGTCAGTCCAACAATGCATTCTTATCCACAAGCCAGGAAGTTATAGTGTGCATCCCCTGGTTCTACTTTCTGCCAGGTGGATTTGGGAACAACTAGCTGGACTGGCCGGTGGGGCCCAAAGACGGCTCTCAGAGGCAGTGCATTGACCTCCAGGGACATGGTGAGCATGTCAGGCTCAGTGCCCGCTCTCCTTTGATTTAGTCATTGATCACCTCATGGAATTGAAGAGAGCCTTCTTAATTCTGCAAGCAAGACTTTTGCCCAGGAAAGGATGTGTTATAGAATCATAGCCTTTTAGGACAGAGTCACCTGGTCCAGGGATTCTTAGCCCCAGGTCCATGAACTAGTCTTTTGTTTTTGTTTTTTTGCTAGGTTGTGGGGTTAAGTGACTTGCCCAGGGTCACACAGCTAGTGAATGCTATGTGTCTGAGGGCAGATTTGAACTCAGGTCTTCCTGACTGTAGGGCCAGTGCTCTATCTACCACGCCACCTAGCTGCCCCCAAAATCTATGTTTTTAAGAGCTTGATCCCTGACGCACAGTTACCCCTCTGTGCCTTAGTAATTCAGGTCAAGAGCTGGTAGGGACCTCAGAGGTCATACAATCCGACCCATTCCCTCCATGGATGAGGGGAGGTGAAGCTCAGAGAGGTTAAGTGATCCATGAGTCAGTCAATAAACATTTGTTAAGCACCTACTATGTGCCAGACAGTGTGCTGAGAATCCAAATACAGAAAAAGACGGTCCCTGCCTTCAAGGAGCTTGGGATGTAACAGAAAAAAACACCACAAAAGAAGAAGCTGAAAGGTGGAGGAGAGGGGTGGAAATAGAGGGAGGGAAGGTGTGATGGAAGGAGAAGCCCAGAGGAGAGCAGCCAATGAATGTCCGGGGCAGTTTTTGCCTTTCTCGTTCCATCATAGCCCAGGGCTGTAACCACTACACTGCATGGTCTCTCAGTTCCCGTGAAGCAACCAACACTTCTGAAGGGCCTGTGATGAGGGAAAGCAGGAGGCATAGGGAATTGTGGATAGAGAGCTGGCCTAGGAGTCAGGGAGCTCTGGGTTAGAGTTCTGCCTCTGACATATGGGCTGGGGGACTCTGGTCAAATACTTAATTTCTCTCTGCCCCAGGCAGCTCTCTAAGCTGTCTTACAATTACTCCTCTGCTTTGGTCAAGGGCTGGCCTCACCAGGAGTTCCCTAAACCAATGCTCCCAGGGCCAATCACTGAGGATGTTATGGAGCAAAAGATGAAAATGATGCCTGCCCTCAAGGAGCTTACATTCTTCTGTCTTAGTAGATGACTTTCACCTACTGCCAGGCTGCTATGATTGACCCTGTTCAAGTCTTTTATGTCCTTGGGGCTCAAGGCAACTCTAGGAATCAGACTTGCCACCCAAGAGCCCCTTCCCTTACTAGGAGTTCCTTAAACCAATGAAATCAGAGATTTAAACAAAACCCAAACCAAACCAATGACCCTAAAACGCAGGAGCGCTTCTGAGCCAAGTCGTCCATTGCCTCTGGAAGACTGAGCACACATCTCTTCTAACTTCTAAGCTGGTCCTCAAACAGATTCATCTATCACCAGACTCGTACTGGTCTTGGGTAGCCAAGAGCAAAGGAAGGCTGAGAGCTTAGGAATGTCCTAGTCTTTGGCAGCTGCTTTGGGCACTTAGAGACCTTTGCAGATGAAGTAACCAGCCACCAAGGCTGAAGACAATAGTTTATTACTGGTGCTTCTTACCACACACAAAAGAAGGTGCTTAACTCAAGGGTGGAGGAGTTTGTGGGGGGAAGGATGGGAAGGAGGGGCAAGGATTTGTTGGGATCATAGTTAGAGATGAGGTTATAACTAGATGTCCCAAGGGATAAGATACAAGAGGCATCACAAGGTAGTGAAGAGGACCTGAATTCAAATCCTGTTTATGACACGTATCACTCAGGCAGCCTTGGAGAAGTCTTTGGGAGCCTCC